TACGTACTTTTGTGTTGATTATTCCCGAATGGGATTGTCACAATAAAAAGGAAGTCCATTTAGCGCAGCTGATGTCTCGATTAACTGTCAAAGTGCGTAATTTCTACTTTAATTCAATGTGCAATGTTGCCAACCATGTGAAATATTTTAAGGAAAAATTTGACAGATGGTCAAGACAAAAACAACGGTTTTTGTTGTGATACATTACCTTAGTATTGCATCATGAGAATGTCATTAAATGTCAATCAGCTGATGATTGTTGACATATACATACACAAAACCAGTGTTGCATCTCCTTAGTACTGTGATTTACATCACGATTTAAAATAAATCTCGATCTAAGATGATGTATTTTGGTATGATAAACGTATCGTGATTTAAGAAATAATTTGGGAGATAAAGCAAATAGCCACGTTTTAAGTTACAGTGTAAATATGCTTAAAAGACTTTCTTCGATGATCAGTTTGTCCCAAATATATCTTAATTTATATCCCTTAACTTTTAAATGACAGCATTCCTAAAATAAAATTTTCTTTTTAAACAATTCCTTCTCCTTTTTTTGTTGTTTAATTACTATGAAAAGTCATAAATTACAATTCATCGCGTCGTGTGTTTTTTTTTCTTTGGTAAGCCTGAAAATAAGTAGCTTTTAGACTTAATGTCTTTCCAACAAAAAACCCTTCTTCTAATCTCTGATGGAAATGACGTTTTTGGTTGGCCAAAGGCAAAATAATAAAAAAACAAGGAAAGGAAATGACGCTTTATTTTTTGACGAAGTGTTTTAAATTTATGATAAGAAAATGAAGAAGATTAAATGAAAATTAAAGACAGCGAAGGAGAAAGAGAAAAACATAAGAAAACAATTGGTGATAAATGGGAAGTATTTTGAAAGAAAATTGAGCTAAAAAAGGATATCCTCCAAAAAAGGGGATAATATATTTTGTTGGGTGTTTAATTTATATAAATAATTAAATGAAATTATAATGTTTAATAAGTTTTTAGGGGAATCAATAAGATATTGTAATGTTTATGTTTTGAATAAATAACTTTATTTAATTTCTTATTAGTATGGAAATGTAGGATATTGAATCATGTAATAATTGACTCAAATAGTGTCCCATTGAATTCATCGGCAGTCAAAATTAGAAGAAATGGAGAATACGTCACTAACATCTGCTATCTAGGAAGCACTGTAACAACGAATGGGTGCAGAAACGAACGTAACCACGAGGAATGGAATCCTCAAGGATTACAACAATGAGGCCGTATTGCAAGATCAGGTGATGGTGTCACAATGGCTGATTGCATTAATGAACTGTGGAACTAGTTCCTTTTGAAAAAGGTTTTAATAAGGCATCGTATTGTTTTATTTATAATTATTCTTTTTCAAAATTATATTTTATCCACACTATTAATATAAAAATTCTAAATAAAGTTTTTTTTTTGCAAATAAGACATTATATTAAATATTCTAAAGTTTTATTGATAATATAAAATTCATATATATTTTTTAATATAACTTCATACAGACACTGGCTGTTGATATTTCCATTCTAAATCATTTACCATTAAGGTTACAAAAAAAATCCAAAAAAATAAAACACAAAGTCTGCCAAAAAATATTTCTAAATAAACCAACAATAACTGATGAAGTACAAAACTCTGAAATCAGAAAATTTTGTTTTTGCCAACAAAGTTTTTATGTGGACTAGAAAAAAATCAGACTGACTGACTTTCTTTTTTTGGGCAAAAGAAAAACAACAAAATAAAACACCCTGAAAGCAGGCCACAAAACTTTTACATGCCATTGACAGGGATATACCATACACATATTTATGCTAGCATATATTATTGCATATATTAGATAATGTAAGTGGATATAAGGGTGGAGATAATTAAAAGACAAATCTGAAGTAAATTAAATATTTTACATTTTCCATATCTAGGCCTCAGTTCTCCTACTTCAAATTTCTACAATAAAATTTATATATAAAAAACAAAAAGTATTTCGATTAGTAGTTCTGTCTGGTGATGTTCTAAAAATTAAAACCTTTGTTGTTGTCCCGACCATTTCTAAAATTTGTTCTAGTAATATTTTACATGGCTGGCAACATTACACATCGGATTTGAGTATGAACTTCGCACTTTGACAGTTAATCGAATCGTCAGCTGCGCTAAATGGACTAACTATTTATTGTGTCGTGTCTGGTTCTGAATATAAAATACAACTTAAGGTGCAGCGTTGTTCTCATGTACTAATACTTTTAGATTTTGAGAGAGCTTCGTTTTCTAGTCCTTGTTGAACAGCTGTTTACATCATCAGCTGTTTGTAAATTTTTATTAGAACTACATTGTTGATTTTAATATCATCATTTGGTAGAACAAAATCCTACTTATTCTCACAAAAAATTGATTACGTCAAATTTATTTTACTCCCAATAATCCTCAACACCTTAATGTCGAACATTTAGTTTTCAACTCTTTCAAAAATTGCTTGAGACATAACAGCAACAACAAAACCATATATAACCAATATAACGTCATGAGAGCAAAAAAAAAAAAAAAAATAATTCTTCAAAAAACTTGGAATTGAATTTGCAAAAAATGAAAATCGTTAAGAAGTGTGGAATGCATTTTGCCAAACAGAGCAAAAAAAATCATACATTCCTTTTTGGTGAACAGGACGACCTCAATTCTCATTGCATATTTTTCTGAGGTTGACTTCCAAGGAAATGCGAAAACATCAGTGTTTTGGAACAAAAAAGTTTAGAGCTCTCTCTCTCTCTGAACAAATCATAAACAAAAAAAGTTCAAAAAACTTTATAGATAACTAATAAACCATAAACAAGGGATTCCAACAGAATACAAAACTAGCAAAAGAGAAGTGTCCTGTGAGGCAGAGAGGTGTTTGGGAATACGGTTATGAAGTTAAAAAAGAAGAAGAAAAAAATTGAAATATCATGATTGAATATTAGATAGATGGACAAATTCGGGTTGTTGGGCCCAGTGAAGAATAAAATTAGTCCACGTCGCCCAAAGGTGGATATTGAGTAATTAGGGGACCAAAAGTCCAAAATTCTAAATAGAATGAACTAATAAGGAGAAGAAAAACCGGAGAAACACACAAGTCATATTGCAATGGAAAAAAAACTGCCCCATAAGTGCTCAAAGAAATAGGAAATTTTCACCAACAAAGACTAGTAAATATAGAAAAGCTAATTTCAAGACCAACCTTTGAACAAATTGCGAAGGAATCTGGCAGTAAATGGCAAGAATCTGATCGTATCAACGCGCAAGACGTCCAGAAGACTCCGACTAACTGTGGAACTTAAGAACTACAGCTTCGAGGTAGTCAACGATTTTATATACCTTGGTACCGCCATAAATAAAAAATAAATAATGACATCAGTTTTGAAATGCGGAGAAAAAAGTGTTGGCCAACAGATGTAGTCTCTCGCCAGACCAAACTCAAACTCTACAGTGTCTTGTACTACTACCCGTGCTGTTATATGGATCTGAAGCGTGGGTACTTGCGCAAGCAGATGAGGCAGCTCTTGGAGTGTTTGGGAGTTAAAAAAACATATAAAAACGAGACTGCTGATGGTTCACGCAGAAGGGGAAGGTCACGAATTCGTGGAGGATGCCATAACAAAACACGGTCTTTCAAATTGGAAAACCTGCGAACAAGATCGACGCGCATGGAAATCTTTTTTTAGTTTGGCTTATGGAACAAATATTCTGTCCCGAGCCAGCTAAGTAAGTAAGATCTTGAAGAGCATTACTAATAAAATTATTAAAATATTGAGTGAAAATTTGACACAGAACTAGTCTAAACAGCTAGGATTTGATATCTCGATTTACAAATCGAGTCGATTTAAAAGGTCATAGTCTAAATTGAATATCGGCCTTTATGACCAATATTCCTAAAAGTTCAAAATTCTTCAACCAATTTCCCACACCATCTCTGTGTTGGGTACACAAACAAAAATGAAATGGTCCCCAAATTTTCCGACAACAACAATATGAACAATTAATCTTTCCAGTATTTTTTTTTTGTTTGGTTATTTTTGTTCTCTTTTAATTTCCATTTACTTATCAATAATCTCCTAATGAAAGGCACCAGAAAAGACAAATTACTACCATTATTACAGGACATGACAAGTTGCTTGAAAAGAAAAGTTTTTGTTTTTTTTTTTGGGAATTTTTGTGGGGTTGAGAAAGTCATTGTTTTGCATTTAAATAAGGCTAAGACACTTTTTTCGTTTGCTTGTCATAAAGAATTAACCTGAACTGAAAAAAATGGGACAGCAAAATTAAAAGCATCTTTGTACTGCAAAAAAACGAGACCCCTTTGCGACGACGAATAGACCCTTGTCACGAAGATAAGAAATGAAAAAAACACCAAGTTTAACAAACCTTTCAAAATAAATTTACCACCAGCAGTAGCATGTACTAGAACATGTTGGGGCGTAAAAAATGTTGCCTTCATAAATTTATTAAAAATAAAACTGTGGCAATTTGTCTAATTTTTTGATGCCAAAAAAACTCTTTTTAAATAAATTTGAAAATAAAAATGAAATTTTGTAAAAATAATGAAAGCAATCATAAATTTTAACCACAACCTTTTATTTTTTACAGGGGTATGCCAGCGACAAACTGGGAGGTATATACTGTCACAAACAGGAAAACCTCAAAAACAAACACACAGATTCACACACATATACACGGAAAAGGCTCAGGAAGTTGTTGTTTGTGTGTGTGTTTTATTTTTATAAATAAATGGCCTCTGAAAATCAGTTAACAAAAAACGGGAAAATAAACAACAAAAAACTGCTTCCGTTAAGCATTACCACCAGTTCCTTCGTCTATATAGCCATTTAATGAATCCTTATAATTAGTAATAACCTAGCTATTAGTATACTTGTTGTTGTTGTTTCTTTGGTTATTTGTAATAAAACGGAAACCCCCAACGTTATATAGTAGTATGAATCGCCACTTACCTCCATAGGAAGAACGCCATTACAATCAGCACAATACCAAAACAGCTGAATATGATGCCAACCAAAACGGCTAAATTGTAATCGTTGTGCGATTGACGCAACAAAGGCTGTATCTTTTCACAGTTGGGCTGTAGGCCAATCTGAAAGAATGAAAAAAAAAATGGTGGAGAATAAAAATATGTTGTTAGTATGGGGTTAATTGTATTTTTCTGAAAAATAGGTGTATTTTTGCTATAAGCGACAGCTGTAATTTTATTATGTTTTATTATTTATTGCGCAAAATATTTCAAAATTGTTATTTTTGTGACAATTTTTCCGAAAATGAATGCTAATGTATATAATTTTTCAAGTGCAGTTGAAATTGTTTCTAAGGACATATTAGTTATCTAAATGTTCGGCAAAAAGTTCTGCGCATTTTTTGATTACACTTGGCTGTCGTTATAAGCGATTTCGACTATAACTGGAAATTACACTGTGACACAAAATCGAGGTCATGTTCCTTATGGGGAATAACACCCATGGCGATTATATTAAGAACCCAGAAAGTAAAAGTTTTAGAATAATGACGGCTTGAATTTTACGCTGACACATTCCAGCTATTCGTCGACTATAAAGTCGCATTCGACAACCCTATTCGTTCTGAGGTGTTTAAAGCCATGTCTGCGTTCGGTATTCCTGCAAAAATAATATTGCTAGGCAGAATATTTTTAACTGGCAAAAGGTCAGCAGTTAAGTCGGAAAGGACCTCTCGGAGCCTTTTAATACCCAACGAAGGTTCTGACAAGGTGACAGTTTGTCGAGTGATCTCTTTTACAGGTCATGCTGGAAGCAAAGGTGAACAGAAATGCCACTCTGTTCACCTTTGCCTACGCCGATGACATCGACATAATGGGTCGTATATTGCGAGCGTTAACAGCCACCTTTGAACAAATTGAGAAGGAGCCCGCCAAAGTGGGCCTGGCAGTAAATGGCGAGCAGACCAAGCTGTGGAACTGTGGAATTTTATGGTCTAAATAAGCATCGCTCGTCAGTCCAAACTCACATTCTACAAGACGCACATACAACCTGTGTTGTTATATGGTTCTGAAGCATAGTCCGACGAGATGCCGGGAATACGTTGTGAGAAGGGATGAGGATGTCTTAGCTCAAAAGCATATAATAGCGAGCCAACTGATGGTTCACGTAAAAGGAGAAGGTCACGAATCCGATGGAAAAATCAAGTGGATGACATCGTCTCGGTACATGATCTTTGAAACTGGAAGACCGGCGCGCCTTGAATTTTTTTAAATTCGGCTTATGGAACAAATGTTCTGTCACAAGCCAGCTAAGTAAAGAAAGTAATTAAGTAATTCTATATGCATTAAGAAAAATTATATGTCTTTATATGCAAATTTCAAAAGTTTGTGGTGGAGGTACTATAAGGAATGCACCGATTAATCGCATCTTACAATATTATACAGGCATGGTTAACATATTAAGTTGTGCAAAGTTTGGTTGAATTGGGATATTCCGTTCGCATGATATTACATTTTTTTATCAAAATGTTCACCATTATATGTGGGAGGTATCACATCTTCGAAATTGATCTAAGTTTGGATTAAATATTACTATGCACAAAGTCTGGATAAAATCGGTTACTCCCTTCGAGAGTTATCGTGCGGTCGGAGGTACATTTGTAAATGACTCCAAATTGTATGAAACGTATTTGGCCCAACGAAACATGGGGGTCTTATTAATATTTAACTAATGTTGACATATTATTTACTCCGCAAGAAAGTTAACACAAACAATTTAATTGCAATATCTGCAATTTTGGAAGATCGGTTTTTTGGATCTATCACTTCAATAGATGGCGCTGACATAAAGTGCTTGACAGGGTAAGGATGAATAAATAATTTATACGGATATTGTTAGCTTCTAGCCACCCATCTACCAATTCAAAAGATGGCGCTGACGCCAATCCTAGATCAAGCCAGAAAGTAGGATCCGTCGGCTCCCTCCTTCTGCGACCTCCCTGGGAAAATTTGAATTAATTTGAAGTGAATTTCATTTCACATCTTCGAAATTGATTTAAGTTTGGATTAAATATTACTATGCACAAATCCTGGATTAAATCGGTTACTCCCTTCGTGAGTTATCGTGCGGTCGGAGGTACATTTGTAAATATATACCTTCTATAAAGCGAATTATAAAATCTGTGTGTAATTCAGAAGACCTCCGCCAAACATAGGCTTAGGGTGTATATCTATCGGCAACACCGACGACATTTTTTTAAATTGTTTTTGTATATAAATCGAGATTCTATAGACTTTTTTCCAAACCTCTTTCAATAGTTTCTGTGCCGATTTTTTCCAAGTAGTTTCCTAAATTATTAATTTAATTTATTGTTTCTTTTTTATTTCATGCCTTAGCATTTCTAATATATAACATTCCTTGGCTCGACGGTAAGAAAATGACATTCTTCTTTTACTCTCCACAACAAACGACGGAAAAGCCTTGCCAAACATTGAAGTGTCTACTTTAAATGACCATAAACATTAAGGTTAAGCCACAAATGTCCCATTCTGTGACAGAGTGCAAATTAGTTTTCCTAGAGAAAAATAAAAATAATGGATACTGGAACAACAACGAAAACAACAACAAAAACACCAATAAGAAGAAGACAATGTCCTTGTGGTGGCGCAACAAATGCCAAGTAACATGTGTAAGAATGGACAACAATTATAATAATAGTAAGAGCAATATAAAGTGGTATTCCGATAATAAATGAATGTCAAACTACAACTACACAGATGTTTGAAAATAAGGCAAAGGGTTTTCTAAATACATATAATTATTCGGGACTCTTATCCACATAGCATTTTTATCCTATAAATATATATTGAATCCTAATATATTAGGGCCCTACTCCTGGTGTCTCCCGGTAAATATGCTAAATAATTGTTGATGCAAATTTGGAACAACTTCTACAGAAGGACTCTAACTCCTGAAGAAAACTAACTAACATAAGATAAATTTTCGGGATAAATGTACACCATAAATATCACAGGCCGAGTGTATATATCTGCCGGTAAATTTAGATATTTGGCGAGTTTTATGATTTGCGAGTTTTTAAATTGACATATCCTTAAGCATTGTCCTCAAGGGCAGACATTTTTCTCACACAAATTGCAATTTCCTTTGATTTATTTTTATTTTACTAATTTAAAAACACTTTTTTTTACAAACACCCTCCGTAATAAATGTAAAATAAATTCTTGAGTAAATTACGAAGTTGATTTATTTCCGGTTTACATATCCTTATCATTGGGGAAGACACTAAAAATGATGAATAACAATAAAATAAAAATAAAAAAACGAAGATGTCCATCAAAAACAGCAAAAAAAAGTAAATATACAACTAAAGTTATAGCATTGCAAAATGATAAAGAACGAAAACAAGACAAACTGGAAAGGAAATGACTTAAGGGCTTTTTACTGACATTTGCCATGACAATGCAGGAAATGTCAGTAATGCTAGAATGGCATTTGCCAAGTTCGGTCCTCTCTCTCTCTCTCTTGCTTTCTCTGTCTTGCAATTACAATAAAACAAAAGTCTTAAATGTTAGTTTTTATTTTATTTCTAGTAAATTTACTAATATGCGGATATTTATGTCTTTGATGGTGTTCTGGTGGGAAGACTTTGCTCTCCATTTTGTTGTTGTTTGAAAAGTAATACATGACTGATTTTGTAGCCAATTTACTGTGCATTTTGTAATTCTTATTTTTTTGTTGCAGACGACATATCATTATTATTTTTATAGTTATGGCAGTGGAATGTTTTTTTTTTTGGCTTGCTTCCAAGACGCTTGTTCTTTTTTGCATATTCATGGCAACTTGCATTCAACTCAACTGAACTCAATTCATTCATTTATTATGATTATTATTTTTAAAACCAATGCCATTGTTTCTACTAAAAGGTTTATATAAGGAATTACAGAGTATTTGTGGTTACTTATTGTGGTTATACATATAAATCGAACAATTAGTTCAATGAACTATATTGAAGAATTTCCTTTGGTTAGTTGCAAGAAATAAATTTCGATTCCACAAAATTATTAAAGGAACCGTTTTCTAGATGTATCTTTTAAAAAGTTTTACATATCGAATGTTGTCTAAAAATTAGTCTATAAAGCATAACCTGTATTTTTTTTAATAATTTTTATAGCCGTCGAGTTTTAGCAAATTTCAAAGTCAATTCTTTTTTTTTAATTTGGGGGAAGGTACTAGAAGAAATAGGCCGCTGGGTCTTACCTTCGAACTAGGTTTGATAAAAATATTACAATGTGTTTGGATTTAATCGGACACTCAACTCGATTGAGATTGTATTTACAAATTTGTTTATACTTTTCTGGATATTTACCAGAAGGTAAATATGATATATTAAAAATATTACGTTTGGAAGAAATAATAATTTTGGTAATGAAAATGGGATATATCGGTGCACGTTTAGATATAGCCTCTTTATACCTATATCGTCCCATTTAAGGTACTTTTTTACTTACATACAGGAAATTTCCAATACATGTCGACGTTTTGGTATAGCCGTATTTTCCAATCGAAGTGTCTTTAATCAACCATCCCTACAGACCTTTTTCAATATTGTTCCATATTTTGTACCCACTACATTTTCGGTATTTTTTATATTTCTAGCCTCATTATGGTCAACGACATTATTGGGCCATACCAATACGGCTTCAGACCTGGTACATCCATCATTGATCAAATTTTCACTCTACGACAAATCCTGGAAATGACTCACGGAAAACACATCGATACATTCCACCTATTCGTCAACTACAAAGCCGCATTCGACAGCCCTATCCGTTCAGAAGCGTTCACATTTTGCTACCATTTCATTTTCGGTATTTTTTATAGTCAATGACATTCTTGGGCCATACCAATACGGCTTCAGACCTGGCAAATCTGTCATTGATCACATTTTCACTCTGCGCCAAATCCTGGAAAAGACCCATGAAAAACACATCGACACATTCCACCTATTCGTCGACTTTAAAGCCGTCTGCGTTTGGCATTCCTGCAAAATTAATACGGCTATGCAGAATAACTTTAACTGACCTAAGGTCAGCAGTTAAAGTCTGAAAACGACCTATTGGAACCCATTAATACCGAACGATGATTCAGACAAGGTGACTGTTTGTCGTGTGATCTTTTTAACATCCTGCTGGAAAAGGTCATACGAAAGGCAATGGTGAACAGAAAGTGCACTCTGTATACCAACAACAACACATGTTACTCGCCTACAGGAGTAAATGGCGAGAAGACCAAACTTATGGTATCAACGTGTAAGATGTCCCGTAGACTCGGACCAACTGTGGAAATTGAGAACTACAGCTTCGAGTTATTCAAAGAGTTCATATATCTTGCAATCTTTTTTAAGTTCGGCTTATGGAACCAATGTTCTGTCATTTGCCGACTAAGCAAGTAAGTAAACCTCATTATCCAAGAGAGAGGATGGAAATTTGGTATTCCGAGTTTTTTTTTTTGAAAAATATATTTGCTAAAATATTTACGGGGTTTTTTTTGGAAAGGAGTGGGCCAATATTTCCCATCTACGAACGTGAACTAAGTTTGGAAGAAATATTGGATGAGCAAAGTTTGATAAAATCGGTTATTCCCTTCGAGAGTTATCGTGCACACCAGCCGACCAGACAAACAGAAAGGCAGACGGACGGACATTTGTAAATCGACTCCAAATTGTCTGAAACGGATTTGGCCCAAAGAAACGGTTCTACATTCATTTTCCAAACGTTATGGCTGTAAAGAGACATTTCAGGTTTTGGAAAATAAAATATAACATCGTACACAATTTTTAATATTAGACAATACTTTTATATAATCCTCTAGTAATTCTACAGAATATGTCGGTACTATTTCGTTAGGCTGAAGGTCTTAGCCGAATTTCCCCACCAGATACCCAGATTGAAAAATTCGGAATATAAGAAAGAGAAGGCTCTTGACTGATTGTAGGTATTTTGAATAAGTACCTCACGGTGGAGGGTATAGGGCCCAGCCGAACTTTTTTTATATAATTTTCAGGGACTAAAATTTATATTATTTCCAAAGTCTGTATCCAAAGCGTCCTGAAACGAAATGGTCACATTTGAGGCTCGGAATATCTCAGCGTCGATTCCACACGCAGAATGAATTAGTGAGACTATTAGGGACATAGGTTACCAATTGTGCAAAATTTCATTTAGAGTATGGTCCTGTAAGCGTGCCCTTGGTGGACATATAGTTGATATTTGTTTCAATATACCTTTTTAGTTATTATGAAATAAACAGCCGATCAATTATATAAAAAAATCGTATTATTCTTTGCATAACAAAATTATTGGAAAATTCTCTCATAGCTCACGACATAAAAAAAAACAGTGAACGGAGCAGTATAGTCGGATAGGTCCGACCATATGATACCCTATACAACTATCACGATAATGTAACTTTCTGCGGTTCTATGTTCTGAGCCTGGGCAATATTTTGCGATATTTGCACCCTCTTGACGATTATAGTTCAACATCTCCACTTTCTAACCCTGGCATATTTTCCAAAACTTGCTTTCCCGAGGCGAATAATTACGCCATAAACGTAAGTTTCTGATTGATTTGACCCTCGAAATATTGGCCTTCATTATCATGCCAACCATTCAAATTAGTTGGTCAAATCACCTTTCCAATGGAAAATTTGTGATGTTCGACTAATAATCGTGGCGTGTGAGCGGCTATAAAACCAGACAAAAATAAAGTTTTCGGTTAATTTCATACCCAAAACATCATCTGATCAAAATCGAAAATTATAAACGTTGTCCTTGACCATAATCAGAAGCTCAAGCTAAATTTTCTAGATGACGATCGGTATACTTAAATGTGGGTCTAGGACTAATATTTCACGCCGTCTCAAACTGTAAGGCCGCACAAAGCTATAATATCCTGACAACATAGTTGTGTAGGGTATACAAAACAATAAACAAATATTCATAATTTCCATAAACTTGTTTTAATAATATTAAATGCCACTTCACTTACCTTACGTCCTTCGGAAAATTTACCCAAAATTATTTTCTTGGGAATAATGACACTGTAGGTGGCAGCAGCAACCTTCACCTCATACAGCTGGTACATGGTAAGATTTTCGATAATCATCTGGAAAAATACAATACACAACAACAACAACAAGAAATGTTAATAGAGAAAAAACAAGAAACTAGTATTTAGAATAAATAAAACAGGAAAATAAAAACATATCATGAATATTACATAAATTTCCGGTTATTTTTTATATTTATATTTGTAAAATAAAAATATATATATATCGTATATTTAAATATTTGCAACAGCACACATAAAATGTTTTCAATAATAAAAAAATAAACAAATACACCAAGGATTTTATTTTACATATCTATGTCTTACTTTTGTGAATCTCTCTGTGAGTGCGGGTGTGTGTGTGCATAAATGTGTTGTTGTTTTTATTTCAAATATACCAACCAAATATTGTATCAAATTTTATTTGAATATGTGCTAACGATCGAAAACAAACTTTGATTATGATTTTGAATTGTTGTTGTTGCTGCTGCTGTTGCCTTTTTTGCGAGAGTCAGTCGTCATCAGTTATATTTTTCCATTCCGGAAAGGATAAACTTTATCTCGCAGGCTTTTAAATGTTTTCACAGTCGAACGGAATCGAACGGGAAAAATGTTTATGTGTGCACATTGACGTTTGTGAACGTCAACAATATATCAAATATGTATGGGGATATGTTTATATGCATTTATATGTATTTTCATTCATATATATTTTCATGGCAACATTGATTCATCCATATGGATGCCGAATATATCTGCTGTATCTTTCAGATACAGGCATGCATGCATATTCATGTGCCAAAAAATTCACTGATTAATTTGAGAGTATTGTGATTCGCGTTACATATTTTGTTTTTATTGTTGTTATTTTATTTTAAATAAATTTAGATGAGATTTGTGAACGTCAACAATATATCAAATATGTATGGGGATATGTTTATATGCATTTATATGTATTTTCATTCATATATATTTTCATGGCAACAAATTTTAGTAGAGATTTGGAATTTTACAACAACAAATATGGTTATTGAAAGCTTTTATTGTGAGACCAGCTTACCGCCGGATATCAATATTGATTTGAAATTACACGTTTTACAGTAGAGTGTAGTAGAGCGCATACAAATTGAGGAATTAATATTTAATGGTATTCGAATGTAAATATTATATGAAGAAGTGAATTTAATAACTATAAAGGGAACATCAAAATATATGTAAAAACAAAACTAGTATGATTAAAAAAATATATTTTAAAGAAAATATATTTGAAATAAAACATAAAAACTCTAAACTAAAATAGTTGTGAATATAATTTGATTGTAAAAGCAGTGAACGGAGCAGTATAGTCGAACTGTTCTATATTCTAAGCATGGTCAATATTTCGCGATATTTGCATGCTCTTGACCGATTAAAAGTTAACAGCTCGACTTTATAACCCCGGAATATTTTCCAAATCTTATTTTCACGAGTTGAATATTAACACCATAAAATAAAAATGTGATCACTTTAGGTTTTGGTTGATTTGACCCTCGAAATATTGACCGATCATCATCTAAACAGCCGTTCTAAGAATTTGATCTGATCCCCTTTACCGTCTAAAATATGTGATGCTCAGCTAATAATAATAAATGCCTCTAGAGCGACTAGAAAATCTGATAAAAAATCAAGTTTTGGATTCATTGCACCCCATATCATAACACATTGAGACCTTTTGAATATTTACGTATAAATCCCACAGCCATATTATTGGCTTATATCCCCTTGGATATACTATCAAGTTCTCGGGTCTACGCCATAGAATAGAAAATTTGTAATTTTTTACACAAAATTCTGGGTCCATTTGACCCGCTAAATATGGACCGACCTTCATCAAAACAGTTATGCTTATTCTTTAGTCAAAACTCCGTTTCCCATGTAAAATTTCGAAATGTTCAGGTCATAATTGTGACCTCTAGAGCGAAAAACTGACTAAAATAAAGTTTTTGGCTCGTTTGATCCCCCCAAATATTAACGGATATTTTCCAAAAACAATAGGAACCTTATTTGGCACTGATATTTCCCTTGGAAAGTTTGACTAATTTTAAACAAATGTACTCAGTACAGTTTGGTGTACGTGTTGTGTTTTTTATAGCGCTTTGAACAATAAATTTGCTAAGAAAATAAAAATCCTCTTTATAAAATTTTATTTTAAAACATTTGGGCGCCATCTGACATTTCCGTTGGAGAGTTTGAATATTGTTAGTATGGGTTTGGCGTACGAGCTTGTATTGTGTTGTTTTTAGTTTTAAAAAATAAATTCGCTAAAATTGGGGTCAAACACATGTCGTCAGCGCCATCTATCGGATGGGTAGATTCATATGCCTTAAAATATGCATACCTAAAATAATTTTCGTCATAACGTTTTTCGTATTGCAGATATTAAAATTAATTCGGTGCCATATGAAAGCTACAATTGTATATTTTATTATGAATTAAATAAATTTATAAAATTCCATGTAATTACATATGAAATTAGGCTTTGAAGAATAGTTTCTCACTTGTTCTGTTACAGTGGCTCCGAATATACTATAAATTGTCCTTTCAGTTTCCCTGAGGCACACATTTTAGATGTAGGTCCCTTTTCATGAATTATTTACATCTTTGCCCCATTTTCCAAATAAAGTAGTTGAATTATGGATTTTTCAGAGGATAAAATAAATCCTTCTAGAAAACTTTTGTTATAGGTCCTTTAGAAAAATATGCAATGTGGTCATAAGTCCGGCGAATACATTTTGTTCGTTTTACGTTTACAGAAACAGGCTTTAAATTTTCGTAATGTTGAAGGTTTTTCTGGCGGAAAGAATTTTTTTCTTAACGAATAAAATTTATATACATATATTTTTGGTCGGATTGATTGTCTCAAATATATTTCTACATATATTTTAACAAGACTTCAAATACCTTCTCTTACATATAGTTACACCTCATAACATGTGTATGTACATGACAATTTTCTCCTTGGGTGTGTGTGAGATATACTATTACACTCTGGCATTCGGTTGTCACGCACACTCCCAACAAAGTTTCGATGCCAAAGCGCAGTGCATTTTTTGTTTGGTTTTCGTATTCTCCTTTTTTCAACATTTCAGCAAAATTATTTTCTATATTAGATTTTTGTAACGGAAAACTTTTGTGTACCAAAAAAAAAAAAAAACTGGAGGAGGATGGGGAGGAGTGAACCCCTACAAAAAATTGGCAAAAATATGAAAATGTTTTTGAAACTATATATTCCAATATAGAAATATAAACAAAGTTTTTGGCATTTTTTCACAACTACTTGCACACTTTATAACCATGCCACCCACACATGAGTGTCTTAGTGGTGGTGTGTGTGTAATTTTTGTTTTATATTGAAAAGAGATTTCTAATACAAATAACTGAAAAAGTTAACACCTTGTTTTTGTTTTTTTTTTTGGCTGGCATGGGAAAAATTTTGTGTTTCAATATTATATCATGATGATGAATTTTATGCTGGTGTAAAATAGTAATAATTTTTGTAGACCATCATATAAAGACCTGGGGGTTATTTTTTGAAAAGAGCGAGTTTGTTTTGAATACGTATGATGATTTTTTACAGGGTCCTAGTTGAATTTTTGAACCCATATGGTTATAATTAGATATTTTTTCCATCTTTTGAGATAATAGCATTTCTTATGAGAGAAAATTTTCAATATTCAGTGTCAGTGGTATGACATGAAAAAATCCGATTTTAATAGTTCGTCATTGCAGATTATGACTGTATATCCGCACTGTTACAATACTATTACTACTATTTTTTACAAATAAAAACGAAATCCTAATAAAACTTTTAGCGTTGGGAATTTTGTCGTTTGAATTTAGTTGGTCATTTACAGCTTTCAATTTTCATTTGATACTTTGCTAAATACCGTTAACAACATGGCAAACAACATTCCAACGGACAAAGTTAGCCGTGAATTTGCTCTGCCATGTGTGTGTGTGAGTGTTACAATTTCATTATTCGGCATTTTTTAATTGAACACAGTTGTTAACATTTTGCAGAATTGAGTATTGGAACTTTTTTGATATAGCATCAATTTAATATAGATTAATTGATGAATATTTTATTAAAAACATTTCAATATATATATGAAAAATAAAGGAAGATTTTTTGAAAATGGATAAAGGAATGGGAAGGGTAATAAATTGGAAAATGTAAAAATACAAGTTTTCAATATAATTTTAAGTAACGTTCAATATAAAATACGTTTGCAGTCACATTGCAAAATTTAATCTTTTAAAGAGATAAAAAAGTGTCTATACTTACAGCTGTTTCCAATTCCTTGGCCGAGGCATTTATCCTGATATCTCGATGTGTATCCTGCCCCATAATTTTCGTTTTAATTATATAAAAATCAATGTTGTTGTAAAATTCCAAGGGCCGCTTCCAGCGTATGGTTAATGAGTTCTGTGTGTGACATGTCAAATTGACAATAATTGGAGCACTTGGCACTCCAACGTCGGTGCGTTGCACAATAATATCGGAGGATTCGCCTTCATTTTTGGTAGTGAAAGCATTTACCTTAATGCGATATTCGGTGAAGGGTTCTGCAATGGAAAAAAACGGAAGAATGAGAAATTAATATATCGATTGATTAATGAAATAATCCTTTAAAAAACTAAAGGATGTGAGTGAGAGAATACGTTTGTGTTATATTGAAATATGAAGGATTTTTAACGGATATTTTTTGCAAAGATCATCAAAGACACAAGCATCGTTTTTTTTTTTAAATAGTTGCTACCCTACACAACCATGTTGTCAGGGTATTATGGCTTTGTGCAGCCCCCAGAGTTTGTCGCGGTGAAATATTGGTCCTAGACCCACCTTTAAGTATACTGATCGTCATATCTCGTCTAGCTGAGTCGATCTATACATGTGTGTCCGTCCTACCGCCCGTCTGTCCATTATAATTTGAATGTGGGATGGGTTCTGGCCAGTGAAGACCCTTATTGTTTTTGCTAATGGTCTGTGGATATTTAGGGGATGAAATGAACCAAACACTTTATTTTTGTTTGATTTTCTAGTCGCTCTAGAGGCCATAATTATGACACGAACACCACGAAATTTTACATGACTATTTTAATTAAGATCAAGAGTAATTTTGCAAGGACTTTGACTGACTATGCGTGGATTTCAAGAAGTTTATTTTTATGCGACTTATATTTTTAAGGGTATTATATCAAGGACAATCACTGCCATAAGCGTGGATTTTTAAGAATTAATTTTTAAAGGATCCTGACTGACATACGCATAGATTTTTAAGGAGTATTTTGCAAGGATTGTGATTGGTATAATCGTGTATTTCGAGGGAGTGGTTTTCTAAGGACAATCATACTCATAAGAGCGGATTTTTAAGGAGGATTTTTGCCAGGATCACTTGATTGTGGATGTTAAAAAGAGTATTTTAAGGAGGTTTTTTTCGAATCATGCATTTTTAGGATGTTATATGAAGGACTATCTCTGCCATAATCGAGAATTTTTAGGGATACTGACTGACATAATCATGGATTTTTTGCAAGTATTTCCTGGTTGAAATTAGGATGAATTTTTAGGGAGTATTTTCTAAGGATTCTAATTGACAAAAACGTGGATTTTAAAGGAGTAATTATCCAAGAATAATCATACTCATAAGGGAGGATTTTTGCAAGGACTATCATTGTCATAAATGTATATTTTTAAGGAGTATTTTGGCAAGGATTATTGAACTCTTAGCTTGGATTTTCAAGGGGAATTTTTCCATAGACTATCCATGCCTAAAGGTCGGATATTTATGGAGTATTTTTGCAAGGACTCACACATTCATAAGCATGTTTTATCAATGAGCATTTTTGGAAGGACTGTCGCTGCCATCAGCGTGGATTTGTATGGAGAAGTTTTGCAAAGACTATCACAGCCATGAAAGTGGTTTTTTAAAAATATATATTTTTTTCAGTGGCTACCTCAGCCAAATAAATGAATTTTTAAGGATAATTTTTCAAAGGACTAAACTGTCATAATAATTTTTAATAAGTCATTTTCTAAGGAATATTACTGTCATCGTAATTTTTTAAGGAACAATTTTCAAAGGACATAAGCGCGGATTTTTAAAAATATATTTTTGCAAGGATTTTCACTTCAATATGGTTGGATTTTCAAGGAGTATATTTGCGTAGATTTAAAACAGTATTTTCCAATGACGAGGACTCTCTTTAGGTGAGGATTTTTAAGGAGTATATTCATAAAGACTATACTGCAAGGGCTCTCATCATTATTAGAATTGATGTGTAAGAAGTATCACTGCTTCAAGTGTGCATTGTTATCAAAAATATTTGCAGGGCCATCATGTCACAAGCGTTGATTTTTAAGGAGTATGTTTGCAAGGACTAACACTGCCATAATCTATAAGGAATATGTTTGCGAGGACTCTCATTATCATAAGCTTTGGTGTTTAATGAGTACCACTGCCACAAGCATGAATTTAAAAAAAAAAATGTTTGCAGGACTATTATGCCACAAGAGTTGATTTTAGGAGTACTTTTGCAAGGACTAGTACTGCCATAAGCGTGGATATTTAAGGAATATGTTTGCAAGGACTATGACGGCAATAACGTATTTTAATGAGTACATTTTACTGGCTAGGACTCTCGATAAACGTGAAAAGTGTGGGAGTATTTTTTTGCAAGGCCTATCATGGCCATATACTTGAAAATGTTAAATTTCCCATCTATATTGTAAACTGTAGTAACTTATACATATCCCCTGAAAATGTCACCCAGAAAATGGGGTTTAATATTTTTTTTTTTACAAAACACCTCTCTGTTCCCCTCTCTCTCCCACTTTCTTTGCAATCAATGCTCATTAAATATTCTTCAGTTGGCTTTTGTTATTCTAAAGTCTCGTTGACTACATAATCAGCTTTTCGAGTTTTGTTGTTGCTGCTGTTGTTGGTGTTATTTCATTGTTTTGTACATTTTACAGTTTTTTTGTAGTTGTTGTTTTTTCTGTGTAAGCATTACACTACTATTTCTCATTATGTAAAATGTTTGCATATTACTATGCTCTGCCAAATATGGCCAACACCAGCATAACTTCAACCCAATTCGGCAATGGAAGCTATTGGCCATTTTTACAACGTCATGGTGAGGGTATGGATGGTGTTGTTGGTCATGTTTGCTTTTGTAATTTCCACTTTGTTGACTCAATTTTCCATATGTATTTTTATGTTAATCAGCTAAGAGTATTAATTAACATTAAATTTTCATATTTAATAATTATTTCGTTGGTAGCGAAGCTACGAGGTGGTAGTGTGCACATTGCACATTACCACCACCGCCACCACTCTACTTAGTAGCTTAACATGACAGAGCCACTGACCATAACCAACCGGGAGAGCAACAAAATTCTGGCCAATGTCCTTGTTAGCGTTGTTGTAGTGTGGTGTTATTTTAATGCTTACAGGGTTGCATCTTCTCCCCCATCCCTACATCTCTTCGTTGGCTTAATTATTGCACAGCAAAAATGTCTTGTCATGAGCGACATTTTGGCCACGAACACAAAATACAGTGGCCATGCCATGTCACCCGGAGTGGGGGGTGTGATATGGTCGGTGGGGATTGCAGGCTGAAAGGATTCCTTTTTTTTGCAACCGTGAATACCGGAATTTGTGTATGGAAATTATATGACACAATAGCAACGGCAGACAGACAGGATATCCAGTCAATGACAGTTGGGATGCTGTTGTTGCTACTGGTGGTCATTGGTTGGTTGGCTGGCTGGCATCAGTGTCATTGTCATCAGTGGATAGAAATACTTCTCCACCAGCAACACCAGAAATCGAATAATGCCATTGTTGTCTATTATTAAGTAGCAATATATATATGTATGTGGGTATATGCATATGTGTGGTAGTGAGAGTAAAAAGCTTTTACATAGCATTGCATTTGTTTTTGTTGTTCTTTATATATATATATATATATATTGTTTCTGACAACAACTGGCCACAATGACCAGTGACAGTAAAAATACTTTGGTCCGAATTAATAACATTTAATGTGATTGTAATGAAATGTGAAAGGATAATACACCAAGGAGACCACGTAGTGTACATTTTTATTGGCGGGTGGTATAGACAGCCACAATGGAGAAAAAATTAAGGTGGCCATATCGCAACATGTTGTAGAATTTTTGTTTTGATTTGAAACGATTTCGAGTGACACTACAAATCCATAATATGTGTGGATGTCTAAAAAATTAGCAAGGACTTTCATTGGTATAAGCATGCGAATTTAATGGGTATTTTTACAAGGACTATCACTGATCCAAACGGGATTTCTAGTAGAAGTTTTTCAAGGATAATTACTGCTATAAACGTGAATTTTTGCAAGGATCCCGACTGACATAACCATGGATTTTAACGAGTATTTTGCAAGGATTCTGATTGACATAATTTTGTTGCGACTAATATAAGAGTGGATTTTTAAGTAATTATATAATTCATAACCATAGATTTTTCAAGGACAATTTAGATATTAGATATTATTGTTTAATATATATAGATATTTTTGCAAGGATCCTGACTGGCTTTTTAATGAATATTTTGCAAGGATCCTGACTGACATAATGCTGGATTTTGTAGTAACATTTTTTAAGGACACCAATACTCATACGTGCGGATTTTTGCAAAGATTTCTGCTTTGATTTTAAGGAGTTTTTAAGGACTAACATAAGCATGGACTTTTGAGGATATTATATCAACGACCATCACTGTCATAATCAAGGATTTTTAGGGAGTAGTATTTCAAGGATCCAGACTGGCATAATCATAGAATTTTAAAGGAGTATTTTGCAAGGATGCTAATTGCACAAACGGGGATTTTAAAGCAGTGCTTTTCTAAGGACAATCATGCACATAATAGTGGAAAGGGTCTTGGGTGTAGTTTAATGAATTTTTTTGGGACGGATATTAACGCGGAGTTTTAAGGATATTATATCAATGGCTATCAATGATTTTTGGGGAGGATCTTGACTTACAGAAGCATGGATTTTTAAGGAGTATTTTGTAAGGATTCTGGTTGGCATTATGGTGGATTTTTAAGGAGTATTTTGCAAGGATTCTGATTGGAGGATTATACCATTGTCATAAATGTGAATTTTTTTTAGGATTATTTTTGTAAGGTTTATCCCAGGCTTCATCTTGGATTTTTAAGGAGGGGTTTTGTAGGTTTAGTGCCTTTGCTTAGGGGGTTCATATATTTGCTTAGGGGTTTTTTTTTAACTTTTAACAGTGGTTTTGGAAGGTGTGAAAATCTTTAGAAACACAAGAAAAATTGACAGAAGACCCTGTATCTTCGAAATATGTTCTTACTAAGAAATAGTCTCAAATATATATAAAGTTTTATGAGTACAAAAGACGTCCCGTATAAAAAATCTTCAAAGATTCTCGGTTAAATTATCTGAGTATTGAAGTCCTCTAGATCTTGTTTTTTAGTTCAAGAGGTGTGAATGTTTTCTTTGTTTTTATAATAAAATAAGTTGATGGAAAGGGGTGGGATTGGGTGAGGGTTTTTTTAGGTTGAGCTCTGTACCTGTGTGTGAAGCGTCCTTGCAAAAGTGCGTTGCTTATGAAGTCTTCTAGAACGAAGTTCAGAGAGGCTTCTAGACAGAGGTGGCCCATCACTGTCATAAGCTTTAAATTTTAAGAAGTATTTTTCTAAGGAATATGACAGTCACAACCGTGTATTTTTGAGAAGTATTTTTCTAAGGATTTACTTTTTCTAAGGACAATCTCTGTCATAATCGTGGATTTTTAAGGAGTATTTTTTCTGAAGGATGATTATGTCCTTTAGTGAGTATTTCATTAAGCACATTGGTGTATTTTAAGCAAAACATTTCCAAAGTTTATCCTGTCAGAAACATGGATTGTATGAAGTGATTTTAAAAGGATAATCACCCGAATAAGCATGGGGTTATAAGGAGTAATTTTCTAAGACTTCGCTTTGTTATAAGCCTACCTTTTGTGTAGTATTTTCAAGGACTATATAAATTTTTTACGAAAAAACTGCATATAATTTTTATATTCAATAAATTTTTATTTCAATTTGGCCACCCTCATATTTACCACACTTGCAAAAAAAGCCCCTAACAGAAATCCCCACAAAATGTCTTGTCATAAAATAATTAAACAAATGAGATTATTATTATGACAATAGAGTGAACTTTTAAGTCTTGCTATGGGAATGGCCTTTTTATTGTCGTGTGGCTGCTCCATAAGGGTTTTGTTTTAAAAAATATAAATCTGCTGTATTTTTTCTGTATATAATAACACAATAGGGAATCTTACTATTTTATTGAAAGTCCATTATCATATTTATGAAAATAAAAAAATGGAAATTCAATAATTATACTGCCCTTTTTGGATAATAAAAGCAAAAGTTCACGCACAACAAAATATGTATCTTGTGGGGAAATAAGGAAATGCATGATGGGGTCATACGTATTACCACGATGAAAAATAAAAATATTTAAAATACATGTGAGTGGGAAGATTATGAATTTAAACTGTTTTTTAATTTTATAAGAGGCCACTTATACATATCCGCAATCTTCGGAAAAATATGGATTTTGTACCGAGGCGACAAGTTGGAGTATTTCTTATACAGCCTCAAATTTAAAATTATATATCCCTATATTCTATACTCACTTAGCTTTGGCAATTCAAAACGTATAGCCGAATCGGCAGCACTGCGCTTAACAATTTCCACACCCGTTTGATTTTCGTGTATGTGATAGACATGATAGCCGGCAATTGCGCCATTTTGATTTTTAGGCGGATGCCAAGACATGGTTATGCTGGTCGCCGTTACATCGAGGACGGTGAGATTTTGTGGTTTACTTGGCACTGTAAATAGAAGAAAAAAAAAGAGAAACAACATTAGTAAAAATACAAAAAAATACAACTAAAATTTATGGGTTTAACACAACATCACGTTTACATAACTTTTGATGGCAGCAGCAACAAAAAGTTACAAAAAACCCCCTCTTAGTTGGAATTCTAACAAAAATCTGCAACAACCGCATTTCAAAGGATTCCTTTTTGAATGAAATCCTTGCAAAGCGGAAAGCCAAGAAAATATTGAACAACACAAAAAAGCCAGACAAGTCAAAAGGATATGACCATTCACTGGCACGAAAAGTCAAAGTGGCATTATGGTTAAGGCTGCAGCAAAAATTTTGTGCTAGCTTTGCAGCATATGTCGCTCATAATGTCAATATGTTATAACAAATATTCTAGAAAAAAGAAGGAATAACCAACAGGATACCTAAGAATGTATAAAGGATATGCAAAAAATAAAATATAATATTATTAGTATTTCACAAGAAACAAAAAAACTGCACAAGACTAAGAAGGATTTGTTCTAGGAAAAAAACTCCAATATCTTTTGGTTTCAAAGTCAAAAGAAGCTCCATAACTGACATTAAATCCTGGAAAACGCCCTTAGTTTAGTTTTTCTAAGCTGAGTATTAGTTTTCAATATAACAATATTGTTCTATTGTTATTGTTGTTTTATTTTTTGTAGTATTCGGCTTTCCTCGCGTCTTAACACTTGTCAGTGTGGGGTATTGTGGTCGTTTATTTCATCTATTTTTCGTTGACTGCTGTTGTCATTGTCTATCTATTTCAATTTCGGGTTTTTGTTGCTGTTATATTTAAGGATTTGTAAAACAAAAGGAATCCTTTATTGAGGGATTTTTTTGGGGCTAAACGTTGATGACCTAACCTTCAAAGCCATTTGCAATTCAATGCGTAAAAAACAGCAGGTCTTGTTTTTTTTTAGTTCAAGAGGTTTGAATGTTTTCTTTGTTTTTATAAAGTAAAGAGTTGGTGGAACGGGGGTAAGGTTGGGTGAGGGCTTTTTGTAGGTTGAGCTGTGTGCCTGTGTGAGAAATGAGTTTGCGAAGTGCGTTGCTTAAGAGGTGCATATATTTATGACGTTGTTTTTCTTTAAGTTTTTACAGTGGTTTTGGAAGGTGTGGAAAATCCTTACAATCAGATAAAAAAATTGATAGAATACCCTATATCTTCAAAAGATTTTCTTACTATGAAATAATCAAAATTTGAGATGGAGTTTAGTTCAAGAGGACGTCCAGAGGGTTTCTAATCGTAGAAATCATCGAAATGGTCCTCTACATATAAATCCTGGGGATGTCCTCTGAGCATATAAGACCTCTTGAAAGGTTTTTGAACGACTTCAAGAGCACTTTGAGAGAGTTTTCTATTTGCAGAAGACAGGCTGAAGATTTTCAAAATATATAAAGACTGCCATACGTTAAACTTTTTTGAAGACCACTTTTTTTCATTTCTTTAACCTTTTCTCAGACTATTTATTTGGCAATGGCATTAGGATAGGAAAAAAATAAGCCATGTCTTACATACATTGAACTGGGGAGAAGTATTTTCTTTACCAATTACCTTTGGAATGTCCTATTAACTTTTAATTAAAATTATAAATTATATATATGACGTATATGGTTAAATTTTTCTAGTCATTTTCTTCTTTACAAAAGCTATAAAAGCCATACCGATTTTCTTACAATCTCTTTCTTAGAAGATCTCATTTCTAACTATAACATACGAGATATACCGCCTATAGAACTGCTAAAAGATATCTCACATATACCCTGACCCTTCTACATACCTCAATAGTTTGCTTCACAAATAGTTGACCCTACCTCCTCCCCTTCTTACATGTATGCTCTATTTTTACTGTATTTTGTTATTGCTGGTTTTTTGTTATCCCGTCTATATGTTTGTATTTCAAAAAAAATCTACAATCCTTTATATCACACGCAATAATATACAGCCAGCCTTAATCCAGCCGCTGTGACAGATGTTAATTTTTTTTTGCAGGCTGAGCCACAAGAGATTTACAGCTGTAAAATTGCCAACTATCACATTGTCAAGTCAGTGATATATCCGGGGCAGGGATTCCTACAAAACTACAGTGTCAGCCACTTTTTGTTGTTGTTTTTGAAAAGCCCCCTCTACATTTGAAAAAAAGAAACAGAGTATTCAATACATTGACACGGCAACACATAAAAAGGATTAAAAGCTCAAAAGAGCAAAACGAAAAATGACAAAGGTTTTAGCCTGAGGCCTAAAAAACAATAGGATGGCAGAAAAAAAACAAAACCAGAACGAAAGAAGAACAACAAAACAACCTGACATATTTTTCCAACAACAAAAACAAACAATGTCAGAAAAAAACGAAATAAAACAAATCCATTGTAAACGGTTTCAGATTCATTCATCATCAGGATCATCATCGTCGTCCTCTTCATCGATTGGGTTACTTTCGTTGTCCTTTTTTTGGGCTCTGCCATCCGATTGATGATAAAACAAAAAGTACTTTCAAATTCCAATAAAACCAAATCTGTTTAGAAGATTTTGTTTGTTCTGGTATTGTAGGCTTTTTATCACGAAAGAAACATCTTAAAATTGTCCTTGTTTTGGGGGGACTAAAGAAAACATAAAGGAAGTAAGAGGTCAAGTCATGTCAAATCAAATAAAATTGAATTGCTATCCCGTTTTTTTTTTTTTTTTAATCAAGAACAACAACAAATAAAACAATTGTTTTTTAATCCCAAAAATAGGAGAAGGGGTGAACACATTTTTTCCTGACCATAAAATACGTATTAACCTCTCTCCTATGGTCGGAAATGGGTATAATGAGGAAAGGACAAAAATGGATGATTTCAGATATTTCGAAATCCGCAAAAAAGAGAATGGCCATGGGCGAATCTACTATTATTGGAAGACAAGTTCAATGGGGGTATAACCGGTTTAAAGAAGGCCTAGAAGATGTTAATAACGAGGCAGGTCCGGAAATTTTATATGAATGGTACTTTTCATTTCATTAAATACTCGGCACCATTATATAGTTGCAATGGCATTAAGATAGAAAAAATTAGACAAAAGAACTGCACTTTGGAGAAATTTTTTCTGCAATGGCAAATTACAGCTTTTTCTGGAAAAGCATACAAGTCAAACCTACAATGATGAGTTTCTGTACAGATGAATGCCAGCTTACAATAACTCGAAATTCCAAATTGTAATCGCGGTTAAAAGCCTCGAAATACCGGTATATCCCCCATATCAAAACATGAACCTCTATGATCACTTTCTACACAGATGTATGTCTGCCTCCAAAACCTCCAAATTCCAAAGTATAGCCTCTTCGATTTGAAAATTCAACTGAAACCCTTAAAATTCTCCAAAATTGAGTGGGACCTTTATATGGTTCACTTTTTTTTATCAGATCTCCTAAGTTTGGATATGTCATTAATTACAATTCTTTAAGGATACTTAAATACTGGTCCTAGTTTGCCTACTGCGTTTGATGTCATTTAAATTATTGGCCTAAAACGAAGACAAAATAGAACGAAAAAACAAAAACATTTGCATAGCCAAAGGAATCGAATTGAATCACAAAACCCGATTATCAAGAGATGAGAAGAAAGAGGTCAGTCAATTGAATCACTTAGCAATGACAACAACACCGATAAATATCAATAGTCAGATTTATCAACAGGCAGAAACAAATAGAATGAAATACAACAGCATAATCGAAAAGAAGACAAAAAACAGAAAGAAATGACACAAAACGTCAAAAGGTCGATCCTTTGGTCGTCAATGAAAAGGAAAAATTGGTATTTCCTTCTGAAATAAAAACACACGCACATACATAGAGAAACTTCAGCCTAGCCTATATTTATAAATCAGTCAGTCATGAAAGAGACAACGAACAAAAAAAAGATTTTCCTTTGGCCGCATTTTGTTCGTTCCAGGACGTTCGGACTTCTGGCCCTCTCCTAAATGCCGTTCAGTTGCTGCTGCTACTGATGTTCTGCAATAAACATTTTCAAAAGAAAATTAAATGTCTATTGTCGAGGGGAATATAAACGTTTTAACAACTTTGACGGCCTTTTAGATAAGATGTGATGAGCCTCTCTCTGTTGTATATTTGTGCCTGTCCGACAGCCGGCCTGCCTAGCTTGTCCCGGAAAATGTAATCCTCTGCCATGCTTTGCTTTTGAAAGTTTTACTTGTCGTCTTCGCTTTTTTTTCTGTTGAAGAAATTAAGTGAAATAAACGTTTATTTGCACTGTTTGAAATGTTGAGATTCATTTCTAGTCCTTCATCTCACTCTCTGTTCCTCTCTCTCCCCCACCTCCCCGAAGTCCTCTGTGAAAGGCAATCGTTTAGAATTGCTGCGTAGAAAATGAATTTCCAGAATTAAATTAAGTGTGCAAATGAAAATAAAAATAAATCCCCAAGATGTGAAAAACGTACAAAAAGAAGAAGAAGAAGATAAAGACCAGAACAACGGAAAAAAGATTAGTTTTCATTTAAATGCCGGATTTTTTTTGTTTGATTCACTTGTCGTTTCGCAGATTTGTTAATTGCGGACTCAGGCCTTAAATATTTACAATTACATGGAATTTAACAATCAAAAGTTATTGAAAACTTTGTTGTTTTGTTTAAATGTGTTTTTGTTTGTGTGAAATTATTTAGGATATCGGATTTAATCGTTGATAAGTTTTTATTTTTGTTAATATTTAAAATTAAAAAAAAAAAAAATGTGGAGGATGGTATTTGTTTAAATGGTTATTGCAAATTGAAAAATCTTAACATTATTTTAAACAATACTGAACTAAGTTCCGCGGAAATATTTTTATAAAGGATTCAGCTCAGTTGTGAATAATTGAAAATTGTTTGAAGATTGACATTTTCTATTGTAATGTTGCAAATAATTATTTAAACTAAAGGAAGTTATTCTAAAACTCTCCAATCGATTACAATAACAACAGCATTTTTGTTATCTATAAGAAAGATTTTGA